TTTAAGTTAAAGCTAGATGTTGTATGCACACACTGTTCGATCTTTTGCAGCACTCTGTGCAGTTCAGAGGTGCTCCAAGTGGCCTAAGCCTAAGCCAAATTACTCGATGCTATCGGTATCCCATGAGCCTGTCATTTAAAGAACAGTTTATCGAAAGGTGAAATTATTTTACGATTATGTAACAAACAGTCACTCAACGATTAGAAAGGGGCGCTTATGGAAAAATCCACGCGTAGATAGATCCTATGGGTAGTTCTACGTGACGAAAGAGTGCCGTGATGTCTAATTAATCGCTTTACATGTGTGTATTCTAGTCAATTCACGTCGGCCTCTCTTTTCCTCTTCTACAGCTCATAACATGTGTATACTGTTTTAATTACCAGTAGTCCTTCTTTTGACAGTAGATATGGCGACTAATCACCACGAAACTAGTACGAAACAGCTCGGAACTCATCTTAGTGTGTTCCTGTAAACTGCAGTCGATTCATGTCGGCCACTTTTTCCCTTCATAACAAGTAACAAGTCTTGTATACAGGCCTAATCGGCGAATGATTTTGCGCTTTTGCCGGATGCAGAATGCAGTTAAATGCTACGGGACTTATGTGCGGTGCCGAGGATCACGTCTCGTTAAAGCTCTAAGAAGCTTAGAGCTCTCGGCGTTGATCAATTATTAAGTATCGTTGGAGGCGACTGAATGCATATCTGGCCTTTACATTGACTCGTGGTGGCCTACCGATGTATTGGGCCAGTGCTGCAATTTTCCCAGACAAGTCTGGTACAGATTTGCCGACGCCGGGGATGAAAGGCTTGGTAGGCCATGGGCGCGGAGATCGATTCCACGTGTGTGCCGCAGTAGTGCCTCCAACCACTGCGCCACACACGCCCCACGTCTCGTTAGCCTCATCATTTGTGATACTCTCGCTATCTTTCTATCATCTTCATCAGCACCAATCTCTGTGGTAGAACGGACAAACTCATCCAAAAGAGAGTTTTCGTTTATTGTTGTATGCAGAGGACAGCTTTTCTAGTTCGGCCTCTCTAGTTTACCATTAGAACCTATTTATTGAATCCCGAATGTACAGCAAAAACCCGTTTCGCGGTAAAATAAAGTAACTTCACACTATTTAACATCTGTGGATATGACGGTATATACGGGTGAAAACCAACTCACGTTGAACTCTAAGTATTAAAGGAAATGTGAAAGGAGTAGTAATGACAACATCAATATTTGGAAGAGTTTGGTAGGCACGTTTGTAGACATCTGTTCAGCTGAAAGGATGTAGAAGGCATTTCAAGCTTACTATATATGCATATATATACATATATATATATATATCTATATGAATGCTAATCTTTTGAGTTCACCTATTATGTAGGCACCTCACGTCTTGAGGCCCTTAATATAGAATGTTGTGTTCTCGATACTGGCGAGCTGATTTCAATATACTTCAGAGAAAACCTTCGTTCTCGTTTCAGTGATGATGGGAGCTGTGAAGCAACGATGGTTCCCTTTTACTTCTATCTCACTTGTTCATTCTTCACTCATTGATCTTCATTCGTTATGTTAACAAATAACGGCCAACGCCTTAGCGTTTGCGATTGCGGAACTAGTATGGTGCTTGATCATGTGACGCACTATAGTAGTATACTAGTACAGTATAGTGCGTCACTTCATCAAGCGGCACTTAAAGAACGGTGTTGGTTTTTTGATAACAGGAGGAGTTGAGAGAGGTGATAACGTGTGGAAAAGATTGCTTTATCGCACTAGTGGCGCTTTGTGCATATAGTTTGAATGAGCGTTTAATATATGTAACTACAATGCACCATTCAACCATATCGCTGTAAACAACTAGAATTATTTTGCAGCTGCTCTTAAGTTTACTTCGGCATTTTTTACACCCATCCATTCCATGAAAAATAGCCATGATTCGTCCAAGTGATTGGCAGTGAAGTGGTGGCGAGCCGATCAAAGATTAAATTTCTTATGCTTCACATAGCGGGTGGTCCTATTTTTTCTATAAAGGATAAAGAATGAAGCTCTCGGCTTTGATCATTACCTGAGAGACGAGCCATGCACTCGACTTCATTAAGCATCATTGGAGGTGATTGAATACATATCTGATCTTTGAAATGACTCGCAGTGGCCTACCGATGTATCGTCGAGCCAGCCCTGTAAACCTCCCAAACAAGCCTGATGCCAATTTGCCGACCCTGCAGGGATGGATGAAAGGCTTGGTGGGCCATGGGGGGGGGGGGGGGNNNCCGGGGGGGGGGGGGGGGTACCGGATAGATTCCATGGTTGTGTCGCTGTGGCGCCTCCAACCACTGCGCCACATGCGCCCTTTTATAACTTCCGAAAATCTTTTGTCAAGAAGAGGCCTTGAACAGTGGATTATATGAAATCTTTTAGATGGATCTTTGCTTTGCCTGCACTAGGAATGTGCAAGTTACATTTCACCATATTTCGATATGAAAAAATCTGCTATTGTATTGAAGTGATTTTTCTGGTCTACGATTACAGTTGTATTTTTAAATCTTCGTACAATATTTGTAAAAAAAAGAAGATGGTGTAAAATCTGTCTTGCTCTCGGTGTAAGAATCCGAAGACAGAGGACTGAACCTCGATGCAGTGAGGGTGATGAGGATTATAATGACAGCAGCAGTGAGTGATCCAATAATGTGGAGCCACTTTACCAATGGATTTTCTCGTTCACACTTTTTGGTGTAGATAGACAGTTTTTCTTCTGTGAAGATTGATTTCTTTGAATAACTTATGTGTAACGTTTAGCAGCTCACTGAGGACGAAGACAAATACTATAGCAAGAGTGACCGTGAAAAGCTCTTTTCTACATTTAGTATGCATTCAAGATACTTTCTTGCTGTGATAAGATGATAAATCACTAAGAGGATTCCTTCAGAGACGCTCGGTATTTACAGAGTATGTACTCTTAAACGTGGTTTCATACAATACCTAGTTGGAAAGAATTATCAAGTCTCAATGCCACAGCTCTTCACCAATACTTTCAAATCACGAAAAGCACATTTTGTAACACACAGTTAACTGTTTATGCAGATATAAAGGATTGAGGATAAAGCTCTTCACGTTGGTCAATCCCAAAAGTATGTGCCATGTACTCGACTTCATCACGCACCGGCAGATGTTATTGAATGCACGCCTATTAATTTATCGAATCAGTGCTGCTCTCCTCCCAGGCTGGTCTTGTAGCATTAACCACCCTCGGAAGGATGGAAAGTTTGCTGAACCTAGGACTCGAGATCGAACCAATGTGTATTTCAGTGCGTCTCTAACCACTACGCTACACGCGCCTCCTCGCACAACCATACAATTTGTAGCCCCTGAGGGTAACAGTCTTTACACTTCGTAACATCAAGTACTGCGCAAGGCCACGTTTTTTGTATAACTCCTTTAACATCTTTTGCAGTCTGTTTGGAATTGTACCGCATCGAAATTCCCCTTCGGTATCTTATTTCGCCCCCATATCCTCGGCCCACTGGTAACGCTTTCTTTAAAGAAAAAAATAGAGATTAAATGAGAATAATGAGCGTACTTACGAATGTGCTCTCACACATTTTGTGTTCCTAGGGATTGCCAACTCTTAGTACCATAACTTTTAAATGATACTGTGAAATGATAAAAAAATCTTTTTGTAACATGCGATTCAAGGCGGAAGGTGTGGATGCAAGTTATGGTATGGAAACACTGTCGTTTCAAATATAGCGTAAATAGACGCCTATCTTGAATTCATTTAGCGGGACATTTCGTGGGTTTTTTTTGCTGTAGATCTTCCACGCGTTCACCAGTGAGAGTGATTAAGAGGAACTAGAGCCGCATACACATAAACACTTGGTAGAACAAAAAAGTTTTACCGTATCTAGGAAATGTACATTTTCTGCCCCCACTAACGTATAGACAGTAGGCTGTATCCGATCGCTCGTGTCGCTTGGCTTTAGCTCTCGGTGACAACTTCTAAGGACTTTCGTTGGATATCAAGTAAGGGTAAGTGAACTTTTAGTGAGAAGATGGGTTCCACATTAGTAGCGCTGCCGTTCACTAAGAACAAGACCCCGGTTCAAACCCAACCCCAGACTCATCAAGCCTCCTAGCCATCCTGGGTTGAAGAATGGGTATCAGACTTCTTTTGAACTGAGCTAACGTCACATGTAAAGTAACAAGTGGAAGCGCCATATCACAACTGTCGCTGGAATTCAGGAAGAATTAACTCGACCGGCATTCAACGAAAAACAAAGGCGAATAACTTCAAGAAAAAGGCAAACTAAGCCGCAAAAAGTTCGATGATCTTCGTTGACGGTGGACGCGAGGAAAAGAATCGAACCCAAGAATCAGAATCGTACAATATGAGATGTGTGGCCACATAGAAATAAATATATAGTGAAATCTTCTGGTCTAATATAGGGTACATTTTGATGAATTCTTCCCAGTTATTCCAGTGATTTGTATGTTTGAGAAAAACGTCAAACGTTCTTCTTTTCTTATGAGGCACTACAAACAGAAATCTCGCAAAGAAATGTCAATGTTACTAGTAAACAAGTGTTATCTGCACAGAAAGAAGCGATTTATGAAACAGGTGTAGCAGGTGTGGACTAGATGGAAACCATACAGTGCTTTGCATTGTTACTCGGTACTTAGTCGGGGTTTGTGTATAGAAACGACCGAAAATGTTACGCGGCAGGCACATGACATGAGCATTGATTGCTGAGCAAACAATAATGAGTAACCTAGTGCCCAGTTAGCATCACTACAGGTGCTGCTTCAGTGTTTCTACGCGTAAAAAGCTCTTGACTGAGTTTTTAAGGCGAGACTCCTACTCAACACTCTAAAATTCGTTCATTTTCATCATTAATTGCTCATGGAGGTAGCACCGGATTAAGTGGTCTACACCCGACCATCGCGTCGCTGAACAGCACTGTCCGAACATACGCACTTGCAAAACATAATTCTCGTTTTAGAGCTGTACATCATGAACCTAGAGTTCCTACAAACTCTTCATGGGTTTATCAATCTTCTTCAAGTGGTTTGTCACTCGTTTGCACTTTGTAAATGTTTTAAAGAGTTGTTTAGAACAAAGTCGAATGCAGTTCTACAAACGTTTGCTTTGTGGTAATATTTCGAAACTGAGTCCTTACGTTTACTTTGTCTTCAAAAGGGTATCTGCGTTCCAAAAAACTGTTGAACTGTACAGAAACAAGCTTGTATGATCTAGTAGACTAATCTTTTTCTGTTCAGTGTTTTGGTTTTGCGGCCATCTTTGCCTCATCGCTTATATGGGTGGATTCGAGTGTTTATTTCCAGTTTATTTATAAGGTGCGTTGATGATTTTCGAAACTAAAAAGGCTGTCTCCTACTTTTGTTTCAGGGTTTTGGATGGCAGACACTGATTCTATTCATTTTGGTGGTCACATTCATTTTCTCCTTTACAATTCTGCTTTCCAATATTTTCGGCAAGGATGTTCTGGGAAGCATAGGCAAGAAAAAGGTATACCTTCTTGTATTATGCTAATAGAACTCGGATCTTGTTTTTTAGTTTTTGAAAATATTTCAGCTACTGCTGTTGTACGCGATATGTACATTTTTGCTTACTGTGTCTGCTTCATTGGAGACTTGGTATATCGGTCTCTCCACTGGCTACCTACACAATCGTTTCATTACAGTTACGGTACGTCGTTGTTAGAATTTTGCTTTCTATTCAGTAAAATTCTTGTTGGTTATTTTCGGCTTCTTCAGTTTTCTTAATTGGTGCGATCTTAATCATCAGTTGTTCAGGTGTTCAACTGGCTTCTCGTGATTAGTTACATTATTCTGATTGTGGTCACATTACTGTTTATGTAGTCCTTAAAGAGACAAATGTGAGAACGTATACCTCATCTTCCCAAGAACATGTATTTTATTGCAATTCTAAAGTAGTAAATAAATATATCAAAGGATTATATGTGCTGTATATTCCTCACTAACCGCTAAAAAACTGTACAAGTAGAATTTTGGTAATGTAACTTATCTCATCATTAAAATGAACATTCGATAAAGGAAGTCGTGAAAGATGGCCGAAATTCCCTCTCGAATTTCACTTGCATGAAATCTTTTCTATCTTTTTTTAAAGTCATAACACTCTATCGAAACATTCTGAGAGTAAAGACGACTGATAGCTGCATTAGTAACAGTCGACCATAAGTCGATCAACATGTTCCACAACCTTGATGGCGCACCTGGTTTACGGATTTCTTATAGAAGTAGCCAGAGAACTTTTGAGCATGGTGACGAAAGCGTATAGGAGAGGAAATATTGGAAGAGATTAGACGTGATCAGTTGCGATTTCCAATCTTACTAGTTCACATTTGCAAATAAAATCGATTTACCCCTTTCCAATTGCTCATGTCGTTTTGATGTCATGATACCGAGGTGTTTTTTCTATTAATAATCTACTAAGCCAAAAAGAGCTGGTAAATAAAAATAGGTCGACCCCTTCTTAACTTGTTCTGCATTGTGTTTCATATAAAGCTTCATTCAGCATATTCTCCTACTCACACCGTAAAATTTAACTCCAAGGATGCTGAGATATGAGTAAAATTTAGAACATCAGTTGGGCTTCGGAATTGCGATTGCTCAAGTCTGACGTCCCAAAATTTAGGTTTTTAGTTCATGTTCGGGAAAACTGTTTACAGCATAGTAAGCGAGCACAATGGGAACTCTGTCTTGATTTGGAAACGGTAATGGTTTTTCTAATGATCATCATGATGGTTTGAAAGTTACCTTTAATGACTCAAAACATCATAAGGCTGCTACCTGTGAAAGCCTAGCTGATAGCCTACCCAATTTCGACCCTGTTGTTGACAAAAACTACTTTTCTCTCAGACATCTCTTGAAACCAAGCATATGATACTTGTATCACACGTAAGCAGGACACGATACTAATTAATAGGATCTTGAGAAGGTACAATTCCCATAATGTGGAGTTACTGATAAATTCTTTATCGTTTAAAAGGTTTCATTTCCTAATGTATGGACGAATAAGCGCAGTTTTTCGCATTATTTTCCTTTCCATATCGCTTCTTACTTAACCAAAGCTTACATCCTCCGTCATTACTTCTTATTTGACATGTCTTAAACACATCTGCACTTTGTCTCCTTTTAACATGTTCGTGACAAATGGCACCTATAGATGTCATAATGCTTTTGCAGAAGTGACCGGTAAGACATCTATAGGTGTCATTTTATTTCCGGCGAATTATTTTAACACATAAAACTGTATTCCCACCTTGTAACCAGTCGACAGCCTATATGACGCAGATGCAATTATGGCGGGCGTCGTGCATAGGACGCCTTCTTAAGAATTCCTCTGACTAACTTCCTCTGTTGCGGTGAGAGACTTTTGCTGTTGGAGCGAGTGTGCCCAGTGAAGAGTGGTAGAAATGCCGTATACAGTATGCAGTGCGATTTTTGCCAATTAATTCGTCGTTTTCTAGTTTTCAGGCGCTCCGATGAGTATTGGGTAATGCGGCTACGAGTCTTTGCGCAACTATAAAACTTCATCAGAGCCGCTTTTTCGTGACTTCCAATGAGGAAGTTTAGAACAGCTGATTATAGCTATAAAACTTCATTAAACGCTGACAACAGTCTGATTGCATTATGACTGTTTTCCATTATATACAACAGTTGTATACGCACCACAAACGTGGGAGCTTATGTTGAAGAATGTAGAGCACATATAGAAAAATAAAAGAGCAAAGTAGCTCGAAAGACCGACTTTCTATAAACCTCGGCATAGATAGTTGATATATTTATTTATGTGATCTTATAAACTGATCTTCTTAAGCCGACGCGAGGTTGGTACAGATCTTCGTTGTCGTTATGGTTGTTGTTGATGTTATGGATCGATGGCTGACTGCAGTCCCGCACGTAACATTACGGCTCTGAGGGAGGCGAAGTCGCCAAAACGTCAGCCATCGATCAATAACATCAAAAACAACGACAACGACAACGAAGACTTGAACCAACCTCGCGTCAGCTTAAGAAGATCAGTTTATAAGATCACATCAAAAAGAGCAAAAGTTTTTCTGAAAGAGAAGGAAAACCGATTTATAGGATGGGTATCACAATGAAAAACGAAGGCTGCATAAAAACTGCCGGAGTGGGCGGCGTGACACCTATAAGTGTCACAGTAATCACGAAAAAAGATTTTGCGTTGTCCTCTCCGGAAAAACGCGAAACTATTCGTGTCGCGAGAGTATTAATTCTTAAGACTGCGTGAACAAATTTTCCAAACTCAACAAGTCCTTGTGTAACTTTAAATCTTTATGTAAGAACTAACACTGTCCGAGGTGCCAGTATGCATGGTTCTAGGTCACCTGCTGTAGGTTATTCCCATCTACTTTCGTAAACATAATTATCAATCAATGTGTGAGTGTGGTTTTCTCCGATTGCAACCGGCACACTGACTCGGCTAAATCTCTGAAGCCAAATAAATGCGAAGAACATCTCAAGTGATCTAGCGTCGCCTTCAAAATGGCCTAGAAACCTTAGAAGGCTATCCGTGAGCAAACTCTCAATCCAATAGTGAAAATAATGAATATCATACAGAAAACACCATGCCTTTCGTATAAAAGAAGCAATACTTCCCTCCCTCACGAAAGGCAAGAACACATCGGCTCTTTCTAGAAGTACTCACCGATAAACATGAGGAGTTGTGACGGTTGTGAAGTATTGCTAAATCATATTTAAGAGTCAGTGATTTACTATGCGGATATAGAAATATAAAGTGAGTCCACACCTCCAAAGAGCCCAAAGAGCCGCGTTCCTGCTGAAACTCCGGCTTAGTTTGCAAGGCCCTACTGAGTGAGGAACTTTTAGCTATGCATTTCAGGTCCAAAAGAAACAAGAGCGTAGGGCTAACTTGAACAGTAAAGCACAAAAGCTTCATAAATCGCTCTTCGACATGTTTCACTTCCTTCTTTGAGATCTTTTCACTGATCGACCTCCTTTCGACTTGTGTTTTACCCCAATGCTTGCAAAGAAGCTCCGAACACTTTCAGTTGCTTGTAATATACAGATCTACGCAGTATTTAAAAGTAGGTATTTCTTCACTCTCCAATGAGACGCAGTTATTAACACGTTTTTTCAACCAGCTGTTGTCAAGAGCACTTCCCATCTAACATTCGACATCAATGAGTAGGCGACTTTGCTTTTAATTTTCAATCGTTCATGTAATTTGAGTCTATGAAATAACCTGTGATCATAACTTGTAAGTGATAACAGTTCATGGTTCTCTTTAGGGAAAAGACTTTGTTTTATGCCGTTTGTCTTTCAACACAATCCGTTCCATCAATACAGTCGCTAGTTGATAAGCTATCAAGAGGTTGTTACCAAAATTTAGTCGGTTTCGAGTAGGAGACCACGATTCGGTTGGCACAAAAGTGGTCATAAAGACCTCTACATCACTGCTCAGTATTAAGGACTCTATGTATACTAATGAGCTATATGGCAGCGTCACAACCAAAACTTCACCAGTGCACAACAAATTTGTCATTGCCTTAAGAACTGAGACTCAAAAGAAAAACTATCTTATATAAATAATGCTGCGCTATAATGCTGAATTGAGTCAATGTCGGCAGAGGACGAAAATAGCTAAGGATTAGACAGACTTATAGGAGAGATTTTGTTCTAATTTTCAAAGGATGCACACGTTGGCATCTAACTTACCTCTAGGAGCGCACATCTTTCTATTGATCACATTATTTGAGTGAGGTCGAGATTCAATCCGAAATCCATCATTAAAAACGTGGGGCACATCTCACACATTTTCGAGCCCTTTCTTACCTTCAATCTTCTGCTTAGTCTTGATCAATCAGTTAGTCATTCAAAGAAATAGTTCTGCCCAGAATATGTTTTTCACACATCATTTACCTTTCTAGACTATCGAAGTTTTTTTTTCCCAGCTTGTTCCTCAATCTAATCTATGAGTGGTAGACAGGATGATCGGTTCCAGTATGAAAATCTCCTTTCTCTTAAAAGGTGGTCAATCCTCGTCGTATCCCTGCCATTCGATTAATTCCTTCTCCAACGGAGGTTTTCCTTTTCCTCCTTAGTGCTATGGCTAAGTAGTTCGGATTACCATTTCAGCGTTCTATGCGTATGAAGGCATTCAACTCATCGCAAAATTATGGAAAGCCGTTTCCTATAAATCACGTCAGCCAAGCAAATGATCTATTCTAGAAGCCCGGCCATTTAATCGGTATCGGTCTTTGCTGTTCTTTTTCCCTTGTAGGGCGACTATATAACAGCTAATGTGATCTGTGAATTTATGGACAGCTCAAACAGTTATTTATTTTCTTATATCAAGTTCCATTACTACACTCCGTAACACAGATTTCGTAAAGGATAATTCAAAGAAGAGTGTTATTCGGAGCTTAAAAAGTTGCAAAAACAACTTTTCTAACGAATTCGTTCGACTTGAAACAGGACTGTTGTCACCAGAGATACTATTGCAACACATATTAGCACACAAATTGGCCATAGGAATAGAAAACGCAAAATAATGAGGCATAATCAATACTTGGTTGGCCCGTCCTCACTGGCTGAGCTGTACCCATGATAATTTCCATTTTTCAGAGATTTGCTGGATTAGCCACTGTATTTCCCCGGTGTCCCAAGTTATGACTGGCCAAAGTCTGCCCAGGTCGTCATCAACACAATCAGTCGCCGCCCTTGTGGATCAGAGGGAGATTTGCCAGCAAGAGACTATTTTGATACTACGATGGTGGTTAGCTGGGCTTCCTGATGGAAACGCCGGACTCATTCTCAGTTTTGAGAGACCGTGCGGGCGGGCGGGGAGTGGG